TTATACATATTATAAATTAAATACTTTATTTTATCTATTTTATATATTTACTTATATATTCATATTAAATATATATTTTAATATAAGTATATAAATTGTATATTATCTATTTATATAATGTAGATATATTCTACATTATGTATAATATATACCTTAAATGCATTCTTTATATCTTTAATATATATTAAATATTATATCTATTAGATGTATTATATCTATTATATATAATAGATATTCTATTTCTATATATTAAATATATATTTAAATATATTTATATATTAAATATTTCTGAATGTGCAGCTCCCAATTGACTCTTAATTGCCCCAGGATGTAATTAGCACATTTTGCTGTGATGAACTTTGCATTCAGGCACAGGATTTGGCATTTTGTTTTATTTCTAGATCTTTCCTGTATACATATAATTATATATTATATACTTTAAAAATCTATTTTATATATTTATATTAAATATATTTTTATATAAGTATATACATTGTATATTATCTATTTATATAATATAGATATATTATACATTATGTATAATATATAACTTATATGCATTCTCTATATTGTATGCATTCTCTATATCTCTTTATATAACATATATTAAATATTATATCTATTATATCTATTACATATAATCATATATATCTATTATATATAATATTCTATTTTTATATTTTAAATACAAATATTTCTATATATGTATGTACATTATATGTATTATCACTTTCTGACTGTGCAGCTCCAGATTGACTCTTAATTGTCCCAGGATGTTAATTAGCACATTTTGCTGTGATGATCTTTGCAGGATTTTTTTTAATTTCATTTTATTTATTTCTAGATCTTTCCTGTATCAGTCACATGCCTTATTTAGTAGAGCTGGATGTCTCCAAAAATCAACTGACCACATATTTCGATTTTAAACCACCTAAAAACCTCAAGGTAAGTCTGAAAAAAACCCCCAAACCAACATTTTAAAGTCTTAAATTCAAAACCATTTTCTGAATCAAAGTTAGATCTATTTGAGCATAGGCAAAATTCAATTTTTATTCCTTTTTAATTCTTCTTTCTCACCTCAATTCACATTTTTAGTTTCCAAATGTTTGGGTCTGTCTTTTATTTATATTTATGTGAATTTTATTTCTATTTTTATTAATTTATTTGTGGTTTTTTACTGATTTTATTTTCTTCCACCCTGAACCCCTGCATGCGATGGGGAGGTGGAACAAACACCCAGCCAGAGTAAGTGCTGAAGAAATAATCCCAAATTCCTCTTTTTATTTTTTTATTCCTTTAGGAAGTAGATTTTTCACACAATCAAATCCAAAAAATGAGAGATCTGTCAGCATACCACTCACTTACCAAACTCCTGCTGGATTGTATCCTTTGGGCAATCTTGAATGGGAGAAAAATTGATTTTTTTTTACTATTTCTTCAAAGAAATACCTGTTTTCTTTGTATTTTCCCCTTCATGTCCTTAGAACTGAGATGAAATTGTAATTCTGACACTGAGCTTAATTTACTTAAGCACTGACGGTGTTAAAAGTGGGAATATTTGGGGGATTTTCCTGCTAGAGTAACACAAAAACTCCTTTTTGTGCCATGGAAAAGTGAAAAGGGGAGGTTTCCCTTACAGAGGTAATAAATAAATAAAAATAAAAATAAAAATAATAATAATAATAATAATAATAATAATAATAATAATAATAATAATAAACCACTAATAATAAATTAGCAATAATAGTAATAATAATAGTAATAATAATAGTAATAATAATAGTAATAATAGTAATAGTAGTAGTAATAATAATAATAATAATAATAATAATAATAATAATAATAAATTGGATTTGGATCTGTTGTCAAAGGTTCTTTACTGAGGGAATTTGAGGAGTTGTGTTAATGCTGAAGTTTCCCGAGAGGAATTCTAATGACTTGTACTGCTGGTTTTAACTGTAGTGTTCATTTAAAATACAATTTCTCCTCTCAGGACAGATGGCCAGGGCACAACAGGTATAATTGAAGCTGAAATAAAATTATAGAAATTTATTTATAAAATAAGATTTATAAAATTGAAACTCGAATAATATCTGTAGGAGCAGTGGGATTTAAACCCCTTCAGGAGAAATCCCTTCCTGCCCACCCCATAAACCCAATTTGTTAATTGATCCTCTAATTAGTGCTCAGGTTTTGTGTTTGGCTGTGGCCAGCACATTTCTCTCCCTCTCAGGATTTTTCATAGAGGAGCACAGAGGGAAGAAAGAGAAAACAATTTCTATTTCTGCTCCTTGTTTTTCCCATATGGAATGTGGTTGGAAAATTGTTTCCCTGGGGTGATGCTGGGTTGCATGCTGGTGAGGATTGAGGAGCACAGAGAGAAGGAAAACAATTTCTATTTCTGCTCCTTGCTTTTCCCATGTGGGATGAGGTTGGGGTGATGCTGGGTTGGATTCTGGTGAGGATTGAGGAGCACAGAGAGAAGGAAAACAATTTTTATTTCTGCTCCTTGTCTTTCCCATGTGGGATGAGGTTGGAGAATCGTTTCCCTGGGGGTGATGCTGGGTTGGGTGCTGGTGAGGATTGAGGAGCACAGAGAGAAGGAAGAGAAAACAATAGAAAACAATTTCTATTTCTGCTCCTTGTTTTTCCCATGTGGGATGAGGTTGGGGTGATGCTGGGTTGGGTGCTGGTGAGGATTGAGGAGCACAGAGGGAAGGAAGAGAAAACAATTTTTATTTCTGCTCCTTGCTTTTCCCATGTGGGATGAGGTTGGGGTGATGCTGGGTTGGGTTCTGGTGAGGATTGAGTTGATGGCCAATCCAACCCACCTGGGGCTGGGCTGGGGAGGGTCACCAGTTGGGAGTGAGTTAGAAAGGCAGGATTATAGTTTAGTATCTCCTTGAAGTAGCGCGTGGAGGCGTTCTTCGGCGCGCGTTTCCACGAGCAGCGGATTTTCCCTGAAAGGCAGACAACGGCATCGAGGAGCCGCGGGGGCTGGAGCGCTGCCGCGGGCTGGCCCGCCTGGGGCTGGCCCACAACCGGCTGGGCGCCGCGCGCGGCCTGCACAGCCCGGCCCTGAGGGAGCTGGACCTGGTGAGGGGCGCCGACACGTCCTGCTCGATTATCGGGCACGGGAGGGCCAGGGCGCCATTTGTTAATGGGCCATGGTGAGGGGCGCCGACACGTCCTGCTCGATTATCGGGCACGGGAGGGCGCGGGCGCCATTTGTTAATGGGC